AGCAGTATATCGATCAAAATAAAATCCGATGAGACCGAACGTATTTCATTTGAGTTGATATTAATGAAACTCAATTGAATTTTACTGTTTCCAAGGTAATTTTCATTCGATATAAATTAATTCGGATAAAAACGTGTGGATGGAAACTGTGATCTTGCCAGTGGATGGACCCTGTATCGCATCTTTCGTTGCTTTCTCTGCTGTGGCCCATTAAGTGAATGCAACCTTTGGTGAGCCATCAAATCTGGAGAGCTGAACAATCTTGTCTTTGCAATCCTCACATTTATCATACACACACCTTTTCCGGGAGATGTCACAGGTCATCATTTTAGTCAAACTCTCGAGATCTGAAGTATCTGAGCCTCAAATAATGCAAATTCTTAATGACAAATCTGAGATTTTCATGGATCCTACACAGACACGTGTTCTGCAGAGGGAGTGGGGTGTACAACCCGAAATGGGCGAAGCTTACAGAAGATGGAGGATGATATGTTGTTTGTGTTTTTAGTAAGACATTTTTTTTGAAGTTTTTTCATTGTGTCAGAAACCTTTTCTTCTGCACCTTGTTCTTGGTGATTTTTTGTTTTCGTCCAGTGCAAACCTGCATGATCGAACTGTCTTTGTAATATGGTCTGTGAAGGTCAGCTGGTCATCAAATGTTACTTCAAGGTTTCTGACCGACCTTGATGTGGTGATTAAGGTTCCAACCGCATCAAAGCACAGAGACAGCGCTCATAAAGATAATAAATGATATTCACCTCAATACAATATAGGCAAAATATCAGTGTTGGTACTAGTCGACTTCAGGGCTGCATTTGACACTGTCAATCACAACATACATCTTGATAAGCTGGAAAACTGTGTCAGGCTTTCTGGGATGTTTCTAAAATGGTTACGGTCATGATTAGAAGGGAGAGGTTATTATGTGAATATAGGAGACTAAGTCTGAGTGGACATCCATGATATGTGGAGTCCCTCAAGGCTCAATTCTTGCAACACTCCTGTTCAACCTGTATATGCTCTCACTGAGCCAAATAATGAGAAAGAACCAAATTGCTTTTAGCTACACAGACGACACCCAGATCTACTTAGTCCTATCGCCCAAAGACTACAGCCCCATTGACTCCCTGTGCAAATGCACTGATATTAACAGTTGGATATGACAAAACTTTCTTCAGTTAAAAAAAAAAGACAAAACTGAAGTCATTGTGTCTGAAAAACAAAGATGAAGTTCTCAAGGTGAACGTATAAATTTACTCTTGGTGTCAAACATTAAAAATCAAGTCAGGAATCTTATTTTCAGTATCTTAGTCAATTTAAGTCAGGCCTTATTTTCAGTATTAAGCAATAACTAAATCAGCATAGGTTTGTACCTACTATGTATCATCTCAATTAGATTCTTTGTTTCCTGTCAAGACTTAGAGAAAATTGTTCATTCTTTTATCATTAGCAGGGTGGATTATTGTAATGGACTCCACACTGACCTTCCCAGAAAGACCAAAAGACAGTTGCAGCTCATTCAGTTTGTTGCTGCTATATGAGCAGAACCAGAAAATATGAACATATCACCAGTCCTCAGGTCTTTACACTGGCTTCTGGTTACGTTTGGGATTCATTTTTAAGTTTTACTTGTTTATAAAAAAACCTCAATAGCCTCGGACCTCAATACATTGTAGATATGCTGACTGAATATAAACCTGTCCCTCAGTTCATCCGGATCACATTTCTCGATGTCTCAGAAGAGACTGACAAAAATGAATCTCTGTCTTCTCCATCAGAACTGTGTTTGTCTAATCTTTCTTTTCAAATTCAAATTGATTCTCGAAAGAATGGAATTGATAACATCTTAGCCCATAAACGAGATAATTGTGTCCACAAAACTCTTTAAATTGAGCAATGGTTTGACCTCTGCTCTCGGTTAATTGAATGTTCACAGCATCAAAGTCTGGTTTCCAGTTTGGCTTGTTGCTGTGCACATAATACACATGCCAGTCCAGCTGGATCTGCAGGGTCAAATGCCTTCTAAAAGATCAGTGAGATAAGTCATTCTGGACAGCAAATACAATATTTTTTAATTTGTACTATTTTAATGTAATCAAGTTTATATTATGATCACATTATAATATAATATATGTTTTGTTTACAGATGTATGAGAAAATAAAAGCAAAGAATAAAAATGATTCAATAAAACATTTAAATATAATTAAAAGAATAAAAAAGAGTACTTATATCAGACAAAGTGCAACCAGTCAGACGTGCACATTGTGCTCATTCAGTAAATGCAGCTAAACAGTTGTGTTTTGAGTCTGGATTTGATTTTGACTACTGAAGCTAAGAGTGCTTTTCTGCAGCGATCCTCCATAGAGAAATGTGCCATCAGAATTAGTTTTACGTGTTTGACTTTGCAAAGCTGACATCCGGAGTGGGAGTATGATTTCGACAGGTGCTGGGGTAAAACATTATAGTGATTTTATGTGTGTCTCAGTACATGGTTATTGTTTATGTTGTTAATAAAAGAAACAATGGTTTTCACACTTTGCTTCGTTTTTTTCCTTCTTTTTAAATAATTAAAAGGCTACCATTTGCAGTTGTGCTTAAGAGAAAGATATGTTGTGGAGAGAAGAGACCTGATGCACCTGCTCATAGAAGTTATCTTCTACACACAATTTACACACACACACACACACACACACACACACACACACACACACACACACACACACACACACACACACACACACGCACGCACGCACACACACACACACACGCACGCACGCACGCACGCACGCACACACACACACACACACACACACACACACACACACACACACACACACACACACACACACACACACAGGAACCGAATAGTTACACAAGAACCAAAATCACAAAACAAAGCAGGGGAAAACAATTATATATTAAGAACGAGTACTAACAAACAAGGAGTAGTTCACTTAAAAAAAAAAAAAAAAAAAAAAAAAACTTTTGCTGATAATTTACTCACCGCCATGTCATCCAAGATGTCCATGTCTTTCTTTCTTCAGTTGAAAAGAAATGAAGGTTTTTGATGAAAACATTACAGGATTTTCTCCATATAATGGACTTCATTGGGCACCAAACGGTTCAAGGGCCAAATGAGTTTCAGTGCTTCAAACGGCTTTAAACGACACCAGACGATGAATAAGGGTCTTATCAAGAAAAATGAATAAAAAAAACTGTTATTTTCGAACTTGTCCATCAAAATGAACTAATCCTTTTTCGAGTCATTTCTGATTCATCTTCTGGTATTGTTTAAAGCCCTAAAAGCTGTACTGAAACTCTCATTTGGACCGTTTGGTGCTCAGGCCATTTTATGGAGAACAATCCTGGAATGTTTTCATCAAAATCCGTAATTTCTTTTCGACTGAAGAAAGTAAGAGACATGGACATCTTGACACAGGGGTGAGTAAATTATCAGCAAAAGGTTTTTAGTTTTTTATTTTTATTTTTTTTTATTTTTTTTAAGTGAAGTACTCCTTTACAGTAATCCAGACAGGAATTACAGGTGTGGAAAACCAGTTAATGAACGTCATGCGCGTGCACGCGAGGGGGAGTCAGATTCTGGCAGGGAGACCAAATTGACAACACCTCAAACTCACGCCATTGGTTGAGCGCTAACTCAAAATCGTTTTCGTCCTTATATAAGCGTGATTTTCCAGCAGAGTTCATTCATTGTGGTCGCAGATGGAGAGGATGGCAGCTCGAGTTTACTGCACTGTGTTATTGTGTCTGGCTGGATGCTGGAGTTCAACAGAAGCTGCTCCAGGATTAAACTACACAGGTGAGATTCATGTTCTTTAACTTAATTACACAGCACGAAGAAATGCAACAAGTGCCTTACAAAAAATGACATCTCTGCATATTACAATTCTCAAACATACAGAGTAGGCCTAGGCTACAGACGTCCAGTTAAAGATGAATTTTGTTGGCAACATCAGTTTAAATAAAAATTCCTATAAAATTCCTATAAAATAATTTTTAGACTATTTTTATATTCTTAAGTTGTTTTTTATCCATTACCCTTTCTCTACATATTCCATTGTAACACAGATATTTTTTTACACTAAAACAAGAATATTAATGTTAATAAAATGGTTTTAAAAAAAACAAAAACAAAAAACGTTACAAGATACTTTGCCACCAATCAGACTTTGATCAATCCTGATTTGATTAAATAAATAAATAAATAAAGTTTTGCATTTAGTTTTAGTTTAGGGTTTGTTTTGTAGATTAAAATGAATTTGAGAGATACAATTGGTTACAGGCTGTAACTTACAGCCCTTGTTTCATACTTCTTTTTTTTTTTTATCTGACATTGATTGACGCAGTTTAGGAATAATTCGATTTCCAAACTACTTTGATTTGAAGCAGATAAATATAAATAAGTGAATAAGCTTGAGACACAAATTGCAAAACCACTCGCTGTCCAGCCACCCTCTGTTCATACCATGGACAAGAACATGATCAATCACAGATTTCATCAGATATTCAAAATGTTGTCTTTGTTAAAGGCCAGTTAAAGGTATTATATTTTATTATATTACATTATTTAGTGCTGTCAATCGATAAAACAATTAAACTAATTAATTGCACATTTCTGTAATTAATCGTTCTTTAAAAAGTCCTTTGTATATTTTTATTTGTTTGATATTTGTTTGAAGATTGTAAGGTGTGCAGTTATTTTGAGGGAAACACACAGCTAAAGTGGTTTCAAGCAGGACCGAACACATTACATGTTTACATCTCTTCACCAAATGCTTTCAGTTATTTCAAAGGTCCTTACAGCCAAGAACAGCAAAAGCACCAAAACCCACGACGAATAAAACCTTTAAAGTAGAAAGACTGAAATAGTTCTTTCAAGTAAAATATATTCCTATATATATAACTTCCAAAATATTTTTCTACAGTGAAAAAATCATTCAGCATTCAGTGATATATTCTCTGTCATGTGTCTGTATAGAAGCAAAGCCAGGAGTGTGTCCAAGGATAAACAGTGACATAAGGTGTATCATGAAGGATGCCGAGTTGTGTGACGATGACAGCGAGTGTCCCAAAAATCAGAAATGCTGCGGCACTGCATGCGGTGGAACTCTGTGTACGGCTCCAATTACAGGTATTATATTATATTATATTATATTATATTATACTCTATTGTATTGTATTGTATTATAATGTATAGCCTAGTGCTGTCAATCGATTAAAAAACCTAATTGATCACACATCTTTCTGTAATTAATTGCAATTAATCATTCTTTAAAAAGTTATTTTATATATTTTCATATTGTAATAATTTCATATTTAATGCCCAAATGAATTTAGACACAACATAAAGACAGAAGCAAATATTTTAAACCTTTGTATAATGCGATATTTTTATAAAAAGCCATTAAAGGCACATAATTGAAATCGACCAAATTTAACTTTTTTTTTTAGGCTTTATAAATATAAAAACCTTTAAAGGATTGGTTCACTTTTGAAAACTTTTGCTGATAATTTACTCACCCCCATGTCATCCAAAATGTCCATGTCTTTCTTTCTTCAGTCGAAAAGAAATTAAGGTTTTTGATAAACATTCCAGTATTTTCTCCATATAATGGACTTCAGTGGGAACCGATTTTAAAGTAGAAAGACTGAAATAGTTCCCTTTCAGTCGAGAACGTCAGAAGTAGTCAATGTGGACTGAATGGAGCTCGCTGGTGGGATTTCCTCCATTCAGTCGACGTCGAATACGTCCACCGTTTCCTCCTTTAGGGAACAGTAGTGGGTTGTATACGCAACCAGGACGTTGTTTCTAGTAAAACGTATTCCAATAACATGGTACAACTTTAAAAAAAAACATTTTCTACAGTGAAAAATTCATTCAGTGATCTGGCTTCTCTGTCATGTGTCTGTATAACAGCAAAGCCGGGAGTGTGTCCACAGACAATTGCTGAATTAGTAAGGTGTAGCGAGAAGGATCTCGAGTTGTGTGTCGGTGACAGCGAGTGTCCCAAAAATCAGAAATGCTGCGGCACTGCATGCGGTGGAACTCGGTGTACGGCTCCAGTTACAGGTATTATGATATGTTTAGTGCTGTCAAGCTATTAATTGCATCCAAAATAAAAGTTTAGATTTACATAATATGTGTGTGTACGGTGTATAATTATTTTCTATACAAATACACACATGCATGTATATATTTAAGAAATATTAAAGCTACAAAAGTTATTCAGTCAAGAGCGATGATTTATTTTCTCTCTTGTATTATTAACTAATGTTAATGACGGATCACAGCAGCAGGTTTGTTAGGCTGCTGTCACTTTAAGCACTTTTGCGTCTTATTGTACCTAAACCTTTTAAAAGCATTTGCATGAATGAGAGTGTGATCATGTATTGTAAAGCTAACCAAAGGATGATGGGGGGGGGGGGGGATGCTCCAGTTACAGGTATTATATTATATTAATTATATTGTATTCTATATTATAATATACTGTATTGTGCTGTCAATCGATAAAAACAAAAAAAACAATTAATCAAATTTTTTCTGTAATTAATTGCACCTAACATACAAGTACTTTTATATATTTTTATATTGTAATAATTTCGCTGATTAATTTTACTTACGGTAATCACCATTTTAATGTAGAAACAACATAGACAATAGCCAATTTTGGAAAAGTTTTAATGGCATCTTTATTTAAAAAGGCCACTAATTTTAGCCATAATTATAGGCATTCCACATTACAGTATCATTGAAATCTATCAAATTTAAAGGGCAGGTCTTGCCCACATTATGTCCACATCATTTCACCAAATGATTTCAGTTATTTCAAAGGTCCTTAAAGCCTACAACAGCAAAAGCACTAAAACCCACGACGAATAAAACATGAAATTTTAAAGTAGAAAGACTGAAATAGTTCTTTCAAGTAAAATATATTCCAATAACATAAGGATACAACTTCCAAAATATTTTTCTACAGTGAAAAAAATCATTCAGTGATATATTCTCTGTCATGTGTCTGTATAACAGAAAAGCCAGGAGTGTGTCCAAGGACAAACAGTGACATAAGGTGTATCATTAAGGATGCCGAGTTGTGTGACGATGACAGCGAGTGTCCCAAAAATCAGAAATGCTGCGGCACTGCATGCGGTGGAACTCGGTGTACGGCTCCAATTACAGGTATTATATTATATTATATTATAATCTATTGGATTGGGTTGTATTATAATGTATAGTGCTGTCAATCGATTAAAAAACCTAATTGATCACACATTTTTCTGTAATTAATTGCAATTAATCATTCTTTAAAAAGTTATTTTATATATTTTCATATTGTAATAATTTCATATTTAATGACCAAATGAATTTAGACACAACATAAAGACAGAAGCAAATATTTTAAACCTTTGTATAATGCGATATTTTTATAAAAAGCCATTAAAGGCACGTGGAGTGTAATTGAAATCGATCAAATTTAACTTTTTTTTTTTAGGCTTTATAAATATAAAAACCTTTAAAGGATTAGTTCACTTTTGAAAACTTTTGCTGATAATTTACTCACCCCCATGTCATCCAAAATGTCCATGTCTTTCTTTCTTCAGTCGAAAAGAAATTAAGGTTTTTGATGGAAACATTCCAGTATTTTCTCCATATAATGGACTTCAGTGGGAACCGATTTTAAAGTAGAAAGACTGAAATAGTTCCCTTTCAGTCGAGAACGTCAGAAGTAGTCAATGTGGACTGAATGGAGCTCGCTGGTGGGATTTCCTCCATTCAGTCGACGTCGACTATGTCCACCGTTTCCTCCTTTAGGGAAAAGTAGTGGGTTGTACACTGTAAAATCCAATTAGTACACCTTACTTGAAAAAAGCATGCAAACCGATTGCACTCAAAAAATTGAGTAAAGTGAAATAGGAATAATATGTAGTCCTAACAAGTGCATGCCTAGTAGTGTACACTTACAAGAGAGTTCCAGTAACTTAAAATAATTTCTATACTATACTTGATCTTGTATACTTTCCAGTATCTGTGAACCGAGGAAGTGTACTCCCAGAGTGCATTGCGGCATGAATAAATTTATTGCTTTATTTTACTATTTTTGGCTTTATTACAATTTTATTTGCTATCGTTATTGGGGTTATACTGAAAAGAGACAGCAAATAAAATTGTAATGTCTAATTAATTAAATGAGTTTTTTAAATGTTACCACTGTTGTGGTTTGCATGCTGAATGTTGAAGTCTGTGTGTGACTCAACCAAAATTGCAAGATATTGTCACAAATATAAAGGAATTATATCAACCCAATTAAAGATTTATGCCATAAGCGTTGGCAATAAAATGTTAAAAGATCATTATTATACATGAATATTTATGTTATATATAATTTATTAATTAATTTAAGTATGTGTGTGTGTATGTATATATATATATATATATATATATATATATATATATATATATATATAAATTACTTCACTTCCTTTGAAATCAAATAATTATGATTTCAAGTTGCATCACTGCAAACAATTGGAAGAGAACCATAATATAAATTAAGTTCCAAGTGCCCAACCAAAGGGAACATCAATCACAATAATGGTGAGAAAGGGAAATCAACAAGTCAACTAGAGAATTTTGATGTTCTCCCAAAAATATTTAGGTGTATTGACAATAACACTCAAGATGACTGGAAAATGAGGGAATGCAAATTGAAAATGGTACTCAAACCAGTCAAGTAATGTTTACAAGGTTTTTCTGAGTAACGAAAGCACACATGCAAACAGTACAGATTACTAAGAAATGTTAAGTAAGTTCAACAAATTATTGCACTTTAAGTAAAGTTAACATAAAATTCTTAGTAAGAACAATGTTAGATTTTACAGTGCCGTTGTTTCTTGTAAAACGTATTCCAATAACATGGTACAACTTTAAAAAAAAAAAAAAAATTCTACAGTGAAAAATTCATTAAGTGATATGGCTTCTCTGTCATGTGTCTCTATAACAGCAAAGCCAGGAGTGTGTCCAAAGAAAAATGCTGAATTAGTATGGTGTAGCGAGAAAGATCTCGAGTTGTGTGTCGGTGACAGCGAGTGTCCCAAAAATCAGAAATGCTGCGGCACTGCATGTGGTGGAACTCGGTGTACGGCTCCAGTTACAGGTATTATGATATGTTTAGTGCTGTCAAGCTATTAATTGCATCCAAAATAAAAGTTTAGATTTACATAATATGTGTGTGTATTTGTATAGAAAATAATTATACACCGTACACACACATGCATGTATATATTTAAGAAATATTAAAGCTACAAAAGTTATTCAGTCAAGAGCAATGATTTATTTTCTCTCTTGTATTATTAACTAATGTTAATGACGGATCACAGCAGCAGGTTTGTTAGGCTGCTGTCACTTTAAGCACTGCCCTGCGTTCACTTTTGCGTCTTATTTTACCTAAACCTTTTAAAAGCATTTGCATGAATGAGAGTGTGATCATATATTGTAAAGCTAATCAAAGGCTGAGGGGGGGGGGGATGCTCCAGTTACAGGTATTATATTATATTAATTATATTGTATTCTATTATAATATACTGTATTGTGCTGTCAATCGATAAAAAGAAAAAAAACAATTAATCACAATTTTTCTGTAATTAATTGCACCTAAAATACAAGTACTTTTATATATTTTTATATTGTAATAATTTCGCTGATTATTTTTACTTGCGGTAATCACCATTTTAATGTAGAAACAACATAGACAGGTCTTGACTGCATTGCGTACGTCATATCACTTCGTCAAATGATTTCAGTTATTTTAAAGGTCCTTATAGTAACAGCAGCAAAAGAACCAAAACTCCTAATAAAAAGACATTCAGCATTCAGTGATCTGGCTTCTCTGTCATGTGTCTGTACAACAGTAAAGCCAGGAGTGTGTCCAAGCAAAAAATATGAACCAGCAGAGTGTACCTGGATAAAATTCAAGTCGTGTGCCGATGACAGTGACTGTGCCAACAATCAGAAATGCTGCAGCAATGGATGTGGACGTCAGTGTATGGATCCAGTTACAGGTATTTTTATTAAATTATTTTATATACATTATATTATATTAATTATGTTAGGTTCTATAATGATATGTGTTATATCGAACAACTGCACCAATGTGTGTGTGTTTGTGACCGGTGTGTGTGTGTGTGATACAAAGATGGATTATAGCCCAGCTGAGAGGCCCATAGTAGCGCACAATTTATCTTGATGTAGTTGTAATATACAGTGTTAATTTTTCTCCATCTAGATGTCTGTAGACTGCCTATGGAATCTGGTATGTGTTTAGCATACATACCCGTGTGGGGCTTCGATTCTTCTGCAAGAAAGTGTGTGTCCTTCATATATGGAGGCTGCCAGGGAAATGGCAACAGGTTCGACAGCCCGGAAGAGTGTGAGGAGTCATGCGTGAGAAGCGGTAAGACACGCACATTACACTTGGGATAATACACAGGGACGGATTATGACTTGCAAAGGCTCTGGGGCCAATTATCTTTAAATTCAGGAGATTTTAGTTTTATACATATACATTTACTATACACAGGGTGTGATTTGTGAAAAAAAAAAAACAGAGGGGGGCATGTTTTGAGAAATAATTTCATAAAAATAAATCATGAGAACATGAACTTCATCACTGCATTTGCAGGAAAAAAATTCTTATTAACTCAAAGTATCCTAACGCAATATATTTACTCTAATAGCTTCCCACACATATATGAACTGTGATCATGTGCAACAAAAAAACGTGCAATAATTAAATCAATAGATTAATAGGGTAGGCTCATTTATATCAGCCTCTCCTGAACCATGGATTGATTGCAAAGTTAAACCATAATAGAAACAGTTTTACTGCTAAAGTGATGGTTAACGTTACATCTACAGTGAAATGATTGAAAAGACAGATGCATTATCTATGTTCGTTAATTCGCCTCATTCGTGCCGCAGAACCTTTAGACGTTTCGGGGAAACGGGAAAACAAGAAAACGTGGAGGCAAAATGACAAAATAATTCATCAGAATACCTAGCAGAATTGTCTCCTTCTCCTAGCTCATGGACGGCTCCTATTCACACTCTCCGCCTCTGCATGTTTTGGAAGGGAATGATTCAGATTTCTCATGCCGCAGCCACTAGAAGACAGACGGGTTTCTCTCGTCACATTACGTAGTCAAGCTCTGTTTGAGTCTGCGCGTCAGGGACGGAAGTGCTAAAAAAATTGAAAACGGGCTTCAATCGTCTCAATGGAGCTCCAATGAGATCGCTCCGTCCACTTCTTTTATTGTCTATAGGTAATTCGCCTCATTCGTGCCGCAGAACCTTTAGACGTGTGTAAACGCGTCTTTTACATTGAATTAACATTGAAATCACTCGTGCCAGATGTTCAAGAGTGAGTGACTAATCAAAAAACCTTTGCTTTATCTCAGTTGAATGAAACACCGTGTGTTTAACTTCGGCCATTCTCAGTGACTGGGACACTAGCTCTGCTTGTCATCATAGAAACAGAAAATCAGATTGTGATGTTTATTCTGAATAGCTGCTGCCTTCCTTTCTACAAACAACTCCACAGCCCAGGAGTTGCAACCGTCTCACAAGTGTTGATAGGCCATTGTCCGTGAGGTGTAACCAATCAGATCGCTCCGTGGGCGGGACATTGAGCAAGTCTGCAGACTCGTGCAGAGCGGCAGCTATATGAGAGTCAGCCAAAGTAGCGCATTTAAAAATAAAATTGATTTTAATCAAACCGCGGATCCATGATAAGTTTTCTGATCCGTCTCACCACTAGTGTAGTAGCACTGATCATTTTGAGGGGGGGGATAAATTTATCCCCACCGGGGATAAAAATAATTAAGAAGAGGCAGGGATACATTGACCAGAAAGGGGGAAATCCCACGCATCCCCACGGCAAATCGCACCCCGCATATACGTACAATCACCTAAAGGATAATTAGGAACACCTGTTCAATTTCTCATTAATGCAATTGTCTAATCAACCAATCACATAGCAATTGCTTCAATATATTTAGGGTCAAGACAATCTCTGGAAATCCAAACTGAATTTCAGAATGGGAAAGAAAGGTGATTTAAGCAATTGAGCGTGGCATGGTTTTTGGTGCCAGACGGGCCGGTCTGAGTACTTCATAATATGCTCAGTTACTGGGATTTTCACGCACAACCATTTCCGAATGAGAACATGGATCCATCATGCCTTGTTACCACTGGGCAGGCTGGTGGTGTAATGGTGTGGGGGATGTTTTCTTGGCACACTTTTGGCGCTTTTCCACTGCATAGAACGGTACGGTTCGGTTCGGTACGGTTCACTTGTGGTGCTTTTCCACTGCATGGTACGGTACAGTACGGTTCGCTTCAGGTCGCTTTAAATGGTACCTGGTCTGTTGAGGTTCCAAGCGTACCGTACCGGTACTAAAATGTGACGTGAAACACTGCAGATCACTGATTGGTCAGACAGAATCGTCACTACTAGCGTCATTGGATTTGCGACACGAGACACGAGACACTTTTTTAGCAGTATTTTGTTTTGCTGCCATCAGCCTCATTTTAAACACATTTTTCCGTCTAGCAGTTAAAAACAACCACATACCGAGAATCAGGAACACCATCCCCTTGATAGTCTCCATTGTTCCCGTGTTGTGGGTTTGAAAATGTGGTGCTTTTAAGATGATGTCATGGCAGTAGAGGCGCGCGCAAATAACGATCAGTCCCACACACTTTGAAGGGGTACTACTGCAGTGGAAACGCAAAGCGAGCCGAACTGTTCCGCGCCGAGTCGAAGCGTACTGAGCCGAACCGTACCGTACTATGCAGTGGAAAAGCGCCTTTTAGGCCCCTTAGTGCCGATTGGGCATCGTTTAACTGCCTACCTGAGTATTGTTTCTGAGCATGTCCATCCCTTTATGGCTAGATGTGAGGGGTCATGCGGAGTGTGAGTCACCGTGGTATAAGCCCAAAGGTCAATGCCCTTCGAGGTGTCCATTGTTGAGGTATTAATGGACTTCGGTGGAGGCAACGGTCGTTCATTAAGACCTCCGCTGTGCATCGGATGGTTCACACCTCGCCGTCATCCATTTTGTACATGGCAATGGACACCTCATTGGGCATTAATCCTTACTCGAACAACTGCACCGATGTGTGTTTGTGACTGGTGAATTTTGTGCGTGTGATCCAAAGATGGATTGTGGCCCAGCTGAGAGGCCCATAGTGACTAGCGCACAATTTATCTTGATGTAGTTGTAATATACAGTGTATTTTCTCCATCTAGCTGCCTGTAGCCTGCCTATGGAAGTTGGTCCTTGTAAAGCAGCCATGCCCAGGTGGGGCTTCGATCCTGCTGCGGGAAAGTGTGTGTCCTTCATGTATGGAGGTTGTGAGGGAAATGACAACAGGTTCAACAGCGAGGAAGAGTGTGAGGAGTCATGCGGAGTGAGAAACGGTAAGACACACACATTACACTTGGGATAATACACAGGGATGGATTATGACTTGCAAAGGCTCTGGGGCCAATTATCTTCAGAGAACTCCTATGTCTACAATGTTGGTGAAGACAGGGCTGCCAACTCTCATACATGTTTTTTCATTGTGTGAAAGAAGAGCGAAGCAAAGAGGACTCTGACAGGGCAGGTTACTTTTGTTATGAAAGTCTCAGCTTTCAAATTCTGTCAATTTTATTGCTGAAATTCTAACAAATGCCATTTTGGCGCTCTTTAATGTGAAGTGAAAGATCACCGTAGCACCAAAGTGGCACGTGAACTGATCTAAAGTTCTTCTTTAGTAGATATTAAATAAACACAAATGAACTATATTGAAAGAAACCGTACAGCTTGATGAAGGTCTCATGTAATCACTTAATCCGTGTTTCAACCAGTGTTGCCAGATCTCACGAGACAAATAAGCAATCAGGCCTGTGAAAACAAGCCCAAAACAAGTGACTTTTTTTTTTCTTTCTATGGATTCCCCCTAAGTTCTGGGAGGAGAAAAATAAATAAATCCGTGGGGACGGATTTTAAACTTTGGGTACAGATTTTTAATTTTACCTCCACATGGACAGATTGGTAAACTGAAGATACAATTTTTAAATTACTATAACCCTGAAACGGGAGAAATCATTGATAATATTGGTGTGCAGCAATAAAGTGGTTCCTACTATGATAAACAAATTAGTGATTTAGAGAAGATTTTAATAAACTAAACCGGTTTAACCATTCCAGTCAAATCCATTTAAACAGGTGAGGATGAGGCCTGGTCTATACATTTTTCTTAAGATGGATAACACTTTAGCCTCATATGAAAAATACCACCACTGTTATCTCTCAAGTTGCTTCAGGTACCAAGGTGCAAATTAAACATATTTAACAGCAAAACAATTTGTCTGAACTGAACCCTTGAAATATCTCAAAATTAAATATCATTTAACATTCAACATGTTTTAGTTCTACATCCAGACGTTCTTGGTGGCCCACATTCAAACAAGAACATTATAAATAATAAAAACAAACTTAACAAAGACTTGTGAAATGAGAATGGCACCATCCTCTTGTTAGTTGAGGAGAGTGTGGTGACCCAAAGAGGCCCAATCAAAGTCAAAGTGGCACCACATGACGGGTACAGACTAGGCAGTTTCACTCTCTGTAGAACTTATAGCCTTGTACTGATGTCTAGAGGCCAGAGCTTGTGCTGCCGAATAGTGATGTAGTACTCCAGTCTGATCTCAAGAGCGATTTCTGCTTTCTCGGACCTGTTCCTGCAAAGACTCTGTCTCGGCATAGGCGGTCTCGTCTCATTACTAAAAACTGCTTAGTCTTAAGGCCTAACTATTGATTATTAACTGGGGTGATATTAAATCATGAATATCAAAACTGATATGTCAGGACAAAATCTCAACTCAGACTTGCTTCCTCAAAGACTTGGTCTTGACTCGGACTCGACTTTATTTGAAAACCAACGGACTCGGTCTCGACTCCAACTCGACCCTTCAAAGACTCGGACTTGGCATAGGCGGTCTCGTCCCCATCACTACTGTAGAAAGAAAAGGAAAGATTTTAAATGAGGGATGAGGTAAGATTATACTTCAGCTAGAACAGAAGATGGATACCTAGGATTCCCTAAACCCCATTTAACATTACAGTACTTTGAGGATTATCATCATTCATCAAAAACAGCTTTTCTCCCAAGCATATCCTGGCTCTAATAAAAAAGCTACAGTTACAGTGCTTGCCTTAATTAAAATCCATCTGCATCTGTCTCCCTTCTCTCTGATGCTGCACTGGCAGTTTACATGCCACTATTATTGAAGCACTTGAACATCTCTTGGTTTGGGGCAAAGTCCCCAAATTATGCCTTGTCCTCTCAGTCCGTATTTTATGTGGAGTATAATGCTGCTGAGTTTCGTGTCCCATTCTGTTCGTCAGTTTGGACTTGGCCAGGCTCATCTGTGAGAATCACTCATCCGTCTGCCTTGACTCGTTCTCTTTGGAGACTGTGAACCCAATGTCTCATTGAGGAGAACGGTGCTGCCTTTTTTGTTATTTTTTTTTTTTATTAATTTTTTTTCTGTGCTAGCGTGCTGTACGAGGTCCGAATGGTGTACATGTATTTCACACTTACAAACTCTGCATAGTGCTTTTGAGTCGTCCCCCACGACAGGTTGAATCCATTCTTTTCTCGTTCTCCCATGCAGTCTTTGTTGCATTTCTTCCCATATTTTGCCCTCTTTGTCCCGTCATTTGTTCCTCCAAAAACTCTCCTACAGTCCAGTCACCATCGGGTGTGACTTGTGCGTATTTTCATTTAAACGTCACTCACTGACTTTTCCTAATCAAAAAAAAAAAAAAAACACAATTGCTCTGCCTCTGCTCTGATTGGCTTGTACTCATTAACATGTGAGTGGGGAAAAATATAGCAACTTTGATTTAAATTAACTTAAAATTCACATCTCCACAAACTCATTGTAATGTCACATTTACCTGCCCTTCAATATTTCAGAGCTATTTTCCCCTCTGTCATAAGAGTAAAGCCAGGAGTTCGTCCAATCACAAACGATGGAACAATAATGTGTTTAGTGAAGAGTGACGAGTTGTGTCCCGTTGACAGTGAGTGTCTCAAAAATCAGAAATGCTGCAGCACTAGGTGTAACGGACTTGACTGAATAGATCCAGTTACAAGTATTATATAATGTTACATTATTTTATATTATATTAGTTTTAAGGGGGAATGGAATAAAATTTTGGCCCTTCTTCCAGACCTGCAATTTTATTTATTTATTTTTACGTTTAATACATTTACGTTTATTAGTTAACGTTTTAATTTAAATAAATTGTCATTTAAATATTTCTTGTGTACACTAATTACAATTTACTCTATAATTCACAGATTTATTTTACCGCAATGTTATTATTTAACATGTTTGTGTATGTACAACGCATTCTCACCCCAAGGCGTCACCTTTGACCATGCTTCAATATTTGACGTTTTAGGCGCCCTTTAGCGTCACTTACATGACGCGATCCTACGGCGTCATCTAGCTGACGCTAAAGGGCGCCTAAAGCGTCAGATATTGAAGCATGTCCAAATGCTTCCCAAGGCGTCAGTTAAGTGACGCCTTGGGGGTGAGAATGGGCTGGTTTGTAAGAAAACAATCACAAAAAAGTAATAAAAGAAACTAAAGTGGTAATTTAGGCCACTAGTGTCCTGGGCCCATTTGCCTGACGTACTCTGCAAACGACCCAGTGGAAAACACATTCAGCATTCAGTGATATGGCTTCTCTGTCATGTGTCTGTATAACAGTGAACCCAGGAGTGTGTCCAAGAAGAAAATATGAACTAGCAATGTGTGCCCGGGTAACTTTCATGCCGTGTGTCGATGACAGTGACTGTGCCAAAAATGAGAAATGCTGCAACAATGGATGTGGACTTCAGTGTATGGCTGCAGTTACAGGTATTTTTATGTTTTTAGTTTTATTATGTTATAGTAGGTTTATTAGGCTTTGAAACATGTCATTTAAGTGAACTTAAAATGCATTTTTGTGAAGACTGTTTTAACAGGCTTAATTAAAGGATAGTTCACCCAAAAATGAAAATTAGCCCATAAAGTACTCACCCTGAAGACATCCTTGGTGTCTATTCTTTCATACGAATACAATCGGAGTTAAATTAAATGTCCTGGCTCTTCCAAGCTTTATTATAGCAGTGAATGGCTGTTTCTGTTCTGCATTCCATCAAAGTGCATCTATCCATTATAAAAGTAATCCACATGACTCCGGGGTGTTAATAAAGGGCCTATCCCTTTAAGAATGAATATAACTGATCAAATATAACTATATTTGATCGACAAATTAAGCCAACTTGTATGATTTATATTATTTTATATTCTTAAGATGCAGATATCGGATTCTTTGGAGAAAGTTGTATTGGTGCATCCAAGTCATTTTTACCTGCCCTTCAATATATCTGGACTAATATATATTAGCCCTGATATATTGAAGGGCAGGTAAATATGATTTGGATGCACTGATACCACTTTCTCCAGAACGAGTCCGATACCTAGCCTGGGTTTCCCCATGCTGCCTTGCCGCAGCCGATTTTTATTCGCGCTGCTAGGCAGTCTGGATACCATGAACCAAATTTTCCCCTGAAATAGTGAACCAATCACAGAACGGGGAGGGAGCACAGGTGCATTTGACAGACGTACAGGCGCATTTGATAGACATCTGTAGCACCCAATAATACGGCTCTGGGCATTCATAAACCACGCCTCAAATACGAGATATTTAATGTGTGGTTTCCAGACCACGTTTCATTCTCAATGATGCGTGGTCTGGCGTTAGCCAGGTTATCCGATACCTGTATTTTCACTGGATTTGTGTTTTTTAAATGTATTTGGTAGAGAAACCAGAATAATGTAAATCATACGAGTTGGCTTAATTTGTTGATCAAATATATATTTCGTTAAGTCATTTTCATGCTTCAAGGGATAGGCCTTAATTAACCCCCCAGAGGTATGTGGATTACTTTTGATGGATGCAGATAGATGGGGATATTTTGTTTATTTATTTATTTAATAATTTTCACATTTGTTTAATAGCAAAGCCAGGAGTGTGTCCAATCAAAAAATATAAACCAGCAATGTGTGCCCGGATACGTTTCGTGTCTTGTGCCGATGACAGTGACTGTACCAACAATCAGAAATGCTGCAACAATGGATGTGGACTTCAGTGTATGGATCCAGTTAAAGGTATTATATTATTATGCTAGGTAGAGTTTTTAGGGGGGTTATGCAAGAGAATTTTGGGCCTCTTACAGTTTTTTTTTTTTTTTTTTTTTTCATGTGTCTGTATTACAGTGAAGCCAGGAGTGTGTCCAGTCAGAAAACCTAAACCGTGGATGTGTCCCCTAATGAATTTCATGTCGTGTGTCGATGACGCTGACTGTGTCAACAATGAGAAATGCTGCAGCAATGGATGTGGATTTGACTGTATGGCTCCAGTTACAGGTATAATTTTATATTATATTATATTATATTAGCACAGCTGTGATTCGGCTAAAGGCCGGAGGCTGTTGTACGGTGTACATTATAGTACATCCTCAGACCTCGGCCATCAGACTAAAAGTCTTCAGCTATTGAACAAAACTGCTTCTTGCTTTAGGTCACAGGAGAAAAGTCAGGTTATTATATTAAACATGTCCCACTAAGATTATTTTGTAAATTTGTGTTCAGCTTTAGTTGCAGGTTTAAAAACTATATAAAAACATTGCAACTATCTAGTTTGTATGTTGACAAAATATGAAGTTGAATATGAATACTTCTGAGGTTTTTTTACACTTTATTTATTTTTTATCATAAACAGATTTGTGTTTAGAGGTTACCAGAGAAATTGCTAAATGTATTTATGCTGTCAATCGATTTACCAAAAAAAAAAAAAAAAAAAAAAAAATATATATATATATATATATATATATATATATTTATCAACTAATTCTACTTTATGAAGGCCAGGATCACTGATCCTAGAACTGCTCCTGATGTGTAACAGGTTGGTAATATACGGAAATTGAATAGTTATCAAACACTTTACAGTCTTAACTACACAAAGCATGAATTAACTATAGATTAAGTCTTATTAAAGCTACAACTCTTTTAGCTTTTGTTCTTTCATTTAACAATTGAAGAGTTCAGATGCAAAAGCCTCTAAATGCCATTTGAAATTTTCTTCTTTAATGATGAATTTTTATCAAACTTGTATATTTAAGTTCAGTAATTTCACTTAAATGGCAATGATAATTACCTATTAATTGTTATTTAAGTGAAATTACTGAACTTAAATATACAAGATTGATAAAAATCATCATTAAAGAAGAAAATTTCAAATGGCATTTAGAGGCTTTTGCATCTGAACTCTTCAATTATTGACATCACAGCAACTGGTTTATTTTAAACTAACCATGTAGCAATGTTTTAAAAATAGATTGAGTACTTGCAATACTCACAATAAAACAATATTGTGCTTTACAGTTTTATTTTACTTATTCAAAACTCTTCACAACGTTCTTCTAGCAGTTCATTTCACATTTAAAAATGCACTAAAACTAGCAAAACATTTAATTCATTCATCAGATCAACTCATTCTTCCTGACCACTAGCCGTGGTTTCACACAAACGCACTCCTAAAACCCAAACATCAGGTAGCGTTATACAATGTTCTTTTTCTTTACAAACAAGAATGACACTCATACTGTAGTAACTAAGTAAGCATTATTGTAACATTGTCTATGTTTGCATTTCTAAACAATCCCTAAAAATGATCACATTCACATTAAAACCATATATATTCTTGTGTGAGTTTTCAGTGTTTAGCCCGGAACATGCCAAGCCGACGGTCGGCCGTCTGGCAGATTTTGTGTGTCGGCCAACTAAGTTTCCTCAGTGTGATACGCACGGTTCCGTGCCGTTGGCTGAAAATAGTCCTCGACGGCTTGTTTCGCCCGATTCGACATGTTGAATCGCCGTCGGGGAAAGAGAGAACTCTGATTGGCTGTTCAGCTTAGTGAGAGTCAGTGCACGAGAAAAAAAGCAAAAATGCAAGCAAAAGAAGTCAAAACGGTAAAGATGGAAGCCTGTTCTTAGGTTACGTCATCTTACCTGAGTGTTCCTTGGCCAATATTTCAATATTAACATGAGCGGAGTGGAATAAAGAAAGTGTTTAGCAGGATTGATATTCAAAACGGTAAGCACACGCTGCTTTGTTTACGGTATGTGCATCGGCAGCCGGCAGCGTCAGTTTTCCTTTCTGAATGATGAATATAGACTAATATATCTGCAGATATAGACAGTTGGCTCATTACACGCACATTCTAGCTGACAGTCGGCTGCAGTTCTCTCGGTGTGTTCAAGTGCAGCTTTTTACCTCGACGAGAGCGGACGAGAGGCGACAACACAGTCGGCTTCCTCAGCGCTAATTCGTTGGCGTCTGCTTGGTGTGTTCTGGGCTTTACTGACTGAGAGAGAGCGAGAGAAAATGTAAGATCCCCTCAGAGGATGGAGGTATTTGACATTGTCTTTAGAGGCCACTGGTCAGATATTTTCTCTTTAACCAGTTTACAGTCTTACAAGAGTCTTTCCTTGCCATTAATGCTTGGATAACACGCTTAGGCCTACGTCTCTTTTCATTAATAATAATGTCTAGTGTGGTGGCTGTGATGTATTTAAACCTACCAACATCGGTTGCCATGATTTTTGGAATGACTGATCGCAAGAGGAATAAAATTACGTTTTAGTCGCATAACATATTTTAATGGGATCGCCGTCATTTCGCAATAGTTTTTATCGATATTTAGAAAAAAAAATTGCGCGAATCTGTAATGGAAACGCGACAGCATTTAGCATAGACTAACTTTTTAGAGTTATAGTGTTCATTATACTAACAATTCAACTCCGCATTGATTCTGGAGGAATAAGCATTGGGAACAATCCGTACGCAATGAACGCATGATCATGTTTTGATTCAGTTCGTGCTTGAGGAGGGGTTATTCACATCTCCATTGTCAGTTTGTGAGAGTGGGAGGGAGCCCAGCCCTAGTTTTAAGGAGGTTATAATAGAGTGCCGAAGTTACGACGTCACTCTGTAGGCCAAAACGCGGAAGTGAGTTGAATAGTTTTGAGACTGCAGAAGTCATTAAAGCTACACTGTGTGTTTTTTTTGTTTTTTTTTACCCCCATCTAGCGGTGAAAAGGTATATGACCATCCAGTGAATATTAGTTTTGGTTCCTCTCAATTCTGATTTCGTTTTAACTCCTACGGCAGGGGTGCCCAATCCTGCTCCTGGCGATCGACTGTCCTGCACAGTTCATCTCCAACCCTAATCAAACACACCTGAAGTAGCCAATTAAGGTCTTTAGGATCATATTCAGGTGTGTTTGATTATGGTTGGAGATGAACTGTGCAGGACAGTCGATCGCCAGGAGCAGGATTGGGCACCCCTGTCCTACGGTGACCAATGTAGTCCAAGATTAACATGGCTTCAAGTTTGACCTCGTCCATGAGTGTTAACTGAAACGTAAAGGCGAAGCTTGAATTAACGGGTATGTGCCTTTTTGGCTAATGTACTTTCAAGATGGAGGGGCAACATGGCGACCGACATTAGAACCCCTTACCCGTATGTATTTTCAATGGCATATTATACACTAACGGGATTATTACTTGAACGAAGTAAATATACATTAATGAGCACATATATTTTTGAAGGAACTAAGTGTTTTTAGCTAAGAATAAACTAAAAGCGTTACACATCCCTTTAAAAGTTTCATTTCCAGTTGAATTTGAGGAAACCACTTGAAACATTTGTTGTTGAGCTATTTAAAATAAAATAAATATATATATATTTTGTTACATGACATTCATTCAGTGATAAGACTTCTTTGTCATCTGTCTGTGTAACAGTAAAACCAGGAGTGTGTCCACTCCGAAAATATGATTCAGTAATGTGTGCCCTGATACGTCTCAGGCCGTGTGCCGATGACAGTGAGTGTCCCAGCAATGAGAAATGCTGCAGCACTGGATGTGGTGTAAGTCAGTGCATGGTTCCAGGTACGGGTTATATTATATTATATTATATACATCTGTTTCCTACATCCCATGACTCTTTGTATGGAATGCCATACCTGACATTATAATAAATAAATACAAATAAATATACAAATGTAAAAAAAAAAAAAACCTTATTAATGTATAATTGTATTTTTTTCATTTATTTATGCATTCACTTATTTTCACATTTATTTATTTCTACATGTATTCCTCTGTATGCTAATGAGAGAGCGTGTTTTACCTCTGATAGCAATCGAGCTCAGTGCTGAAGCTTTAAGGCCACAGTGACGCCTTGTGGTGCGATCAAACAATAAGCAAGAGTTTTGTGGACGTTCTTGTTTAGGTCATGCAGGGAATTAATGACTTTGAGAAGGGGAATGTGGCCAAAATCTTATATCATGGTTTATGACCTTTAATATCACCACGGCTGCATTTATTTGATCAAAAACTGGTTCAAATTACCTGGTTTCTGTTGTCATATTTTAAACTGCAATTTAATCATTTGTTGGCACAGCTGAATTTTCCACAGAAATCTGAAGCAGCACAATGGTGCGTAATATGTTTTCTAAACATAATGATACACGCAATAGCTAATTGACTCCGGTCTGTTGAATTAGAGGAAAATAATGCACATTCATGACCGCATTACCATCTCGGGTGTGCATTATTTTTCTAAAAATTTGACGGCTCATCGTCAATTATTCCTTACTTAATAAATGCTTTAGAGGTATTTTTCATTGTCAGTTCATGTTAACTAATGGAGTAAATGAATGTTAACAAATAGATTGTAAAGTGTCTCCATATTGTGTTATTTATATTATATTAAATTCATGTTTGAATCAATAATTATTATTATTTTATGCTATATTCTCTGTCAAAGTACCTGAATTCTGCCTATAGCACTGTTTCAGGCACAGGGTGGCTTTACAAAGTTAATAAAGATGAATAATACTTAATGTAATACACTCTGGAAGTAAAACTAGCTTTTCATGCCTTGAGTGTTTTGTGCTGAAAATCGCTTTATGTCATTAAATTGCCAGACTAAATCTGAATCTCTGTCCATACAGGTTTGCCGTAAGGGAATCCAGTGTGTGGTGAATATTGTTCCCATGATGGTCAGTTCCCTGCCGGACAGAAATGCTGCTCAACCACCTGTGATCATGCATGCAATTTAACCACCGGAAAGAGTTGTGGGAATGATTTAGCATAATACATATTTTCTTTTACTTGAATCAATTCAGTGCTTTATTTCTTTTTTTTTCATCTCTTGTGTGCTTAATATTAGTGTGCATTTGAGAAAAATCTACCAACATTTTAACCCAAATTAGTGTGTTGAAATAACGGATGCATTTGGACATGGCTAGACGGCTAACTAAATATAACAACCCCATGATGAGTAACCAATCAT